TGTGAGCATAATGCAATAGGTGTCTGTTATTCTGTCAAAAATAACGACTTCCATGCTATCAATTTCAGATGTGTAAATGTGTGAGTTTGTTGTTGCGGAGTCAAAGAACTGCAGTGTCAACTATGGTCTTTATGAATCAGCAGTTCTTGAGAGACATGAAAAGGGAAACATTTTTGTCGTCTGGTTGTTGTTGTCGTATTAGTAGAATTTTTTAAGTGGCCCATTGAAATTCGCGATCCTCAGTGCGACCTGCTTACCTCAATAGATGATTGATTTGCAGTCATAGACCGTTTCTCAAACCTTTGAACTACAACAAGAATGTGTGTGAAAACTGTCCACTGAATTCTTAGAGTATTGTATTTGGTCCCATAACTTTATATAGCCCTTTTCAAAAAAAGGTATAGTTCAAAACGTGCTTTACAATAAAAACTAAACCCATTAAAAATGCAAAGAGAATAAAACACACTAAGAGCGATAAAAACAAATGACATTATAAAGCACAGAGTAAAATAAACTCAAATGCCATAAAATCAAATCGATTTAAAATATGCAACAGATTTAGTTGCCCTGATAGCAAACATTAGGTATTTAATAAAAAAAAACATCTACAGAACAAAAACTGATCAGTAGTCAGTAGGAGGCAGGCGTACAAACAGCAGATTTGTTTGGAACAGATGCAGGACTTCAGTGCATGACTGATTACTGTTTATTTCTGCAGAAATCAACGTGATGTCAGAAGTCCGTGGGAGGGAAATGGCACATCAACAACCATGAGTTGACTTTCGTAACCGCTCTAACACACACGTCTGTCCCCCTCAACACACAGCTCATGGCTTTTGTGTCTGTGTGGATTCAACTTTACATATTTCCACATGGATAATGAGGGCTTCATCCCAACAATGGCTACATCTCCACTGAGGCTGAAAGAAAGCATTACTGATGTGAGCATCTGCAGAGGAGACATATCTAAGGGCACTTCTTTCACAAACATGAGCTCACAATCGTATTCATAAGAAAAAAAGTTGACAGGAGAAACAAATAAGTACTACCTTAATGCTTCTGCAGGGAGCATGAGTAACCTTTTTTATTGTCACAGTAAAAGAGACAAGTACAGGAACACAGAGATATTACACAGCACTTATATATAATCAAATATTCCTAAAAGCGTCCACTCTGCCTTTGAGTAGCACTCTTCATCTCAGCCACTCAGAGGGAATATTAGTGGTCTGAATCACAGCACCTTCTGCCCCTTCACTTCACTTGCTGTCCTCCTGGATGTCAAACTGTCGGTTGGGTTTGGTGGACTCCAGCATGAGTTCGTACAGTTGGCCTATCTGTTCCCCCTGGAAGTCAGTGAGTTTCCCCTCTGACAGGTTGGCTCCAAACTTGACTGAGCCGAGTCGCTCCGCTGCTGATTCCAGTACCTGAGTCTGCATGGTGTCCTTGTATTGCTGTGGGGATGAGGGGAACACAGACCACTGTTTAGCACAGACAGAACGCAGAAATACACCTGACCCTGTCCTCCTATTTGAAAATCCTCTGATAAAAACTAGTTTCCAGCTATAGGGAACAATTGAGCCATTTCCTTGTGGAGAGTTTTAACAGAGGGAGGAATTTCACTTTTTTTTTCTATTTCACAGCCAAAACCACAGTCTAAAAATCACCCTGTTATTTAGGACCTATACCTTTTTGTACATTTGTCTTTAACATGGCACGCTAGTGTGTTAGCAGGGGTTTGCACTCATTGAGCACCCTTGTATATCCATGAAGATCAGACAGATGCTGTGAGGAAAAAAGCTATGTGATAGTTGAAGCTGACTGAATTAAGTGGCCAAGGAACTGATGTCAAAGATCCTCCTACAGGAAAGAACAGCACAAAGCTCATCCCCACCTTATAACATAAACCAATAAGTGTAATGTTTACTGATCTCAAGAGTATGCTCTTAAATTTAAAACACTGATATCACTCCTGGGTGATCAGTATTTGTGAAGAGTCAAAGCTGTCGGTGGTTTGTTTGAATCATCCTGAGCAGCCTCCAAATATTTAATGTCTAAAAATCCCTCCAGGAAGCACACAGTCAGTATCCTGTGCTTTCCCATTCACAAAGCATCTTGGGTTTTGGAACACTCCCACCGTAAGCAATAACAGGCCATTTATCTGAGAGGCTTTTTCCTCCACATAATGTAATTACATTGAACATTTGCCAAGGAAGAAATATCCTCCATGAATAAGGAGGTGACAGATCAGAGGAGTTCTCCAGTTTGGTACACGCTCATATTTTACTTTTCCTTCCAAGGACTTACTGGAAGAATCTAGGTGAATAAATGTGTGCAATCTTCTGTGTTCTATTGTCTCTGGATCCGTAACATTAACAAACGCCATGTCGAGGCCTCTGGTAATCAGGGGCCATGTTCAACTTGGTCTGCAGGCTGAAGACACACTGCCCCGCCCCCACCGAATGCTACAGAGTGCTCATCATCTGTTTTTAATTTATATTCATTTTGAACATATTGTGTCCAAATCGCACAAAACTCTGCAGAACCTTGCGCAATTTACAATACACATGCCAAGTGTGAAGACAATTACTTTAATGATTCGCAAGAGATACATAGACAGACAGACACACGTGGAATTAGTAGGCTTATACTGTGTATATATATATATATATATATATATATCACATTCAACTGAACTTCAAGGACATATCACAAAAACTACTATGTATGGAGTTCAGGTTTCCTATGTATGTATATCTCTTTCAGCTCAGCATCAAAACTGGAGACCATTAAAACAAAAAACTATAAAAGCTCTTGCCTTGTGAGTTTGTATCCACAATGGACCAGCAATAAAGTTTAGGTCCTAATAAAGGTGGTTTTTACCCTAGTATATGACACACAAGTCTGGCTTTTTGTCGCTTTGGTTTGCCAAATGAAAAAGCAATTAGACAGAGACCTTGTTTTACAATCCATTTACAATCCAATCCAGACATGAAGGGCTCTCTGTAGTTTTGGCCAAAGTTTCCTTAGAGATGCTTTCATTTGAATTACAGCCAGAGCAGTGTGTAAATATGAAAAAATGCATTATTATTATTGTTATTCAGATCGACTGAGTTTGACAACAATACATACTTGATATAGTTTAGTGTAATGGAATGTAATAAGAGTGTCTGCCTCCTCCCTCCCTCCCTCCCTCCCTCCTCTCCCGATGACTTCACAGCTACTGCGATGACAAAGAGATTCACCATCTACGCCATTATAGAAATGACCTGCAAATGGGTGATTTACCATTCACCAGCAGTGTTTAATTGTGCTGGAAAACATTGGCTGTCTCACACTGTGACAAAAACAATACCTGGCACACCTTGTGATTAAGGTTACGAGAGGACCAATTGCAAATGTACAGATTGTCCATCAGGGTTTGAATATTGAACAGTCAATGTGGTCGGTCTCTTGTAAACAATGTATTGTAAATACATCTTATTCTACCTGCACAAACATGACAGCAAGCACAAAATGGAATGGAAAGGATCCTGGCATATATATATAGAGGCCAAATTCATTCGATGCTTTATCAGTTTCATTTGATCAGCATCTCAAAACTACTGATATGATCACATATGCTTAACCGTTAAAAAATACTGTGCAAGAATAAAACCTGAAAAGCAACTGGCTGTATATTTATTAAGGTCTTTGTCCTGCTGCCTTCAGATGACTGCAGGGATTTGATGAGTAGAAAAAAAACTTTACTCTCACTCAGTTAAAAGAACCCTTGGTCAACATTTGTCAGACCTACTCATCAATAGATAAATGTAAACTGATTTGCCAATGAGGCATATCAGGGTCTTCAGGAGCAAAGATCTCTGGCTGTTGTGTCTTAGCACAACTTTTACATGCTTCAAGGAAAGGGACACACCAGAGGCGAAGGAACCACTTGAAGCGTAATTTGGGCACTTCAAGCAATATTCGAACGTCACTGTTCACCTGCTATTTTCGTTTGCTCTTGTGGCAGCAGATTGACATTGTACCAGAAACAGACTGGAGTTTGAAACATCTGTTCTCAGTGCAAAGACACATTTTCCATCAAAGTAACAACTCACGTCATAAACAAATATCCTTCCTGATGCATCTGTGCACAGTGCACTCTGCTTAGCACAAATAAAGGCACAAGCACAAAGCTCATTTCAAGGAAATGACCATCAGAGCTTTGCTTTCGCTATAAACTGGGCTTAATATCTCCATAAGAAATGGTCTAAGTTGTGTTAATTGCAATAACTCAAAACAAACAAGATGAAGGCAACACACACTCTGGACCAGATCAGTGGCAAGAGTGATGAAGATGATACATTTTTATGTTTTTATCTGGAAATATTTTATGCTACTAACTTATCTCAAAATGATAATCAGGGTTATTATCATTATTTACAAAATAGTAATTACATTACAGGAACTGGATTTAAAATAGTAGCAGCTATGAGAATCCATCCCTGTCTTTAACATTGTTTTATCACATACAGCATTTCTTCATTTGACTTCATGTAATTTTCCTAATTCAAAATGAGACGTGCTCATAAGCCTGATTTGAAGTTGATGACAAGTTGTTTGTGAAGAGGCCTGACTGATCCCCAAACGTAGTTTGGCTCTGTAGGGTGTCATGCTTTGCATCTCTGGGGCTGTGAGTAAGATTTTCCTCTCCAAAGAAACCATTTATCTCCAAATTTAAATAATTAAACACAAGTTTTTAAAATAAAAATGAAAGCTAGACGACCACAAAAATGTAACAATAAAGAAAAACAGAACATTTTTGAAGCACATATGAAATATTTCCTAATTTGATTTAGAGACAATAATTTATCTAATCTAATTTGTAAGCTCAGTTTGTGGTAACAGGAAAGATTCCAAATGATAAAAAGGATTGAAAGGAAAAATATTGAATATTTTTAAACAAACAGGGTCTGTGGGACTCAAACTGAAAGGAAGTAAAGTCAGTGTGAACATGACAGAACACTTGAGTTAATTAATCGCAATGCACATCAGTCAGGGTTTAATTGCTGTCAAAGTCACATGATCAATTTGTGCTCAGGTAGATGGAAGCAGTACCTGTGCAGTACCATAGGTAAATATTATGTCTTACATTAATTATGAAATAGTGGCACTTGCTGGCCAAAGATCACACAGACTCACTTCTCTGCCTCACAGTGAACTCTGCTCGCACTCGTCTGATCGGTGATGTCCCCTGACATAGATTATCACTACGTGTGAGGACAGGAGGAGCTCGGACAAATGTCCCATCTTGTGTAATTCCAAAAATGTGACTCGCCTTTACCTTGAGAGTCTTGAGTTCAAAGTAGATGTATCACATCTAGTACACCTCAGATCTATCAATATAGTATAACAGGAATTACAAGATTTACACAGGGACCTTGTACAGTGGGGGGGTAGGGGAGCTAAGCATCGAATCTGTGGATATCCACCTGCATAAGCCTCTCAAATGTTACTTTACTCTTTACTAAAGCTGCTCTGCCACCATGTGGTGGTGGAATGACATTACACTACCAATGTCTAAACCCTGAAAAGTAACAGAACATACCAAAGCATATTTGGTGCAAATAGTCAGATCTACTCTCGCCCTTATGATAGGATAGTTTTACCATATAAACATGGACTTCACATTCACACAATCTGCAATTTTCCGTCAGCTGTCCTTGCTGCATTTAGCAGCTGTAACTGTGTTTCTTTTAGTCTGGAAAATGTTGTTTTACTCCTCGTACATCAAATATATATAAATTAGCAAACTATTGTATATCTATTATATAAATATATAATAGTTTGCTCCTCGTTTTGTGTAATATGTGGCTCTGCTGCGACTACACTTCTCCATGTCTGTGATTGGTCATATTCACTTAACACCGCCCCTTTTATCTGACAGATATCCTGGGTATGTTGAACTTGTTTTGTAGTACAAGTCCTGGGGCCTCATTTATGAAACACTGCCTAGTCCTTTAGGGGCAAAGATGGGCCGAGGATCGCCAGTTTGCCAACAAATGTGTGAGAAGATTATGTAAATGTTAAAAAACAGTGTTCCTCAAATAAAGATTGGAAGGTATACGGATATTTCACCCTCTACGGTGCATTACATTATTAAAAGATTCAAGCAATGCGTAATGGGCGTGTAAGCCTAAACTGACTAACAGTTCTCTCTGATACCTCAGACAACCATTAATGCCAAAAAGTACATAGAGATTTTGGAGCAGCATATGCTGCCTTCAAGACGACATCTTTTCCAGAGACATCTATGCATATCATATGCTGCAGAAGAGGGTGGGGGCGCTGGACTGGCCTGCGTGCAGTTCTGCTTGTCCCCAATAGAGAATGTGTGCCGCATTTTGAAATGCTTGTTTGCAGGAAGAATCTCTGGATGACTCACTTGTGTAAGCATCAACACTTCATTGCATGTCCAAGGACAAGTTAAGATGACCTGAAGTGCTTGCAACCACCGAAATATTGTTTTTGTTCTCAAACTGTTGACAAAGCCTGACTCAGAATTTATATAATGTAATAACTATAATAACAAGAAACAAATGTTCTTGGAAATCACTGCGATATCAATGATCCAGACAGACACACTCAAGTTATGTAAGTAGTTTAGGTTTAGATGATTTCACTAATGTGTTTTACCTAAATTGTACGAATTGTCGTTTTCTTTACCCTACAATGGGCCCTTTATATTTAAATACCTTATACTTACATCGAGGGGGTCCTCTCTATGGAGGCCGCCACAGTATTTCCAGACTGAACAAACTAAACACCTTTTGAGTTTTTATGACAACTGAAGCTACCACAGGTTCTCTTACATGTTTAGAAAGGGAGGGTGAGGTGAGGAGTATTCAGTTGCAACATGTAACTTCACCACCAGATGTCACTAAATTCTACACACTGAACTTTTAGTAGCTGCTGTTGATTAGTTTGGGTGTTGACAGAGTAAGTAAATACAGCTGTTAAAATACAGAAGTTACACATTGATGAAACCTCTGTTCTATTAACAGCTCTTCAGTTAGTCCCAGTCCTCATCACTCTACATGCACAGTAAACAGCGTGAGGAGGCTCCAGTAATAACTAATGAAGCTGTACCTTCAAATGGAAGTGTTATTTCATTGTAAAGCAGGCAGACACACGCACACACACAGTCAGACAGACAGTCACACAGACAGTCAGACACACACAGACAGACACAGAAAGAAAGATAGATATACACACACACACACACA